GAGAGAGAGGAGAGAGAGAGAGAGAGAGAGAGTGAGAAAAAAAAGAAAAATCCAATAGGGAAAGCGTCGAGCAAACACACTACGACCCGGAGGAAGAAAAAAATCGATCGATCGGAAAAACGTAACACACACACACATTCGTCGGACTGTGTAGGGACATTTTGCATCAATTGTGTAAACACGAGAGACAGAGGGAGAAAGTGTGCGTGTGTGTGAGAGAAAGAAAACAATTTAAAAAAAAAAAAAAAACGTCGAGAGAGAATGCGCGTGTGGAAGAGCGAGAGCGAGAGGTAAGAAGAGACTAAAAGGGAAAAAGAAAAAAAAAAAAGCGCGAGCGAGAAGAATAAGACGACGGAAGCTAAAAAAGGATAAAAAAGGGAAAAAAAAAAGAAAAAAAAACAAAATGTACGAACGAACAATTGATACTGTCTTCGTTTTTTAAGGTCGTTTCTCCGTTCGACACGCTACTATATGACTATTGACATTTGTCATTGGATTATTACCGACGACGATGAATTGTCATTATTATTACGAAACTATTGCTATTATTATTATTATTATTGTGACGAATGATTTATTATTATTATTATTATTAATTTTATTATTATTAACATTTATTATTGACATTATTATTATCACGATTTATTATTGCGATGATGATTATTGCGATTATTACTATTGTCATTATTAAAATTATTATTATTATTATTATTATTAAAATTATTATTATTATTATTATTATTAATGATTATTACGATGATGATGATTATTATTATTATTACGTGGTACAATAAAAATTTAATAAGCATCCGATGCGCACGAGTCTCGTGACTATTGGTATCACATTCCCCCCCTCCTACAAGAATACACGCCAAGTTGCCAAGATATACGCTTGCTTATGCATGTTTCTACGACACGATTCTATCTTTTTTCCCTCTCTTTTCTTTTTTTTTCTTTTTTTTTTTTTTTCCACTTGTCTTATCTCTTCCGACTTTAACAGCATGCTGACCTCTCTTACGCGAGAAAATAACCATATCTGTAATATTCCCGGCTCCGTATCTATCGTACAAGAAAATAATTTATCTCGAAGGTCCCTTTCTATCGTCATCGCGTACCGCGCGTTTCATCACATGTGTCTATCCGCACAACATTCAAATATATATATATATATATATATATTTTCGTATATTCGCGTATCGAATCTGCGTATAGTAAGAACGCGTGCACGGTAAACAATTTCAATTACGAGAAATATCGTAAAATCGTAATTAAACAACGTGCTTGAGTTTCTTCTTTCTCGCTGTGCAAACAGCGCGGCACGTGACGGCGAGCGTCGTGACGCGTGACGATAATAAACGAATGAAAATTTAAAATTTAAAGAAGAGAGGAGAAGGAAAAAATCGATCACAAAAAAAAAAGAAAGAAAAAAAAAACACCTCCTCGAATATAATCGGGGAATATAATATAATATACCTCGATCGTATCTCGCGTTTTACCTCTTCTTCGAAAAAAAAAAAACAACAAGCAACCCACTGTTTCTTTATCTTACAGCAACAATAATATCGTATTATTGTACACATACTCGTATACACATACGTGTATACTCGGGAAAAAAAAATACTCGAAAAAAATAACAAAATCGCGTGAAAGGCATCGGCCGATTTTTTTTTTTTTATGCTAAATCCGAGTCTGTCTGAAATATGCCTCGGTGTCACCGAGGTCATCGGTGGAGAGCACACACGGCCGGTGCTATTACGCCGGCTGCCGGCCTTTAGCCAGTCAACGACGAATCGGTACGGAGAAAAGACGATGCTTCGTTTTGCCGTGCGGAGATCGGCGGAAACGTTGTTGGACAAATGTGTGGACAAAACGGTGCAACGGCGCGAGTTGTCCGGCCCTATACCCACGATGATTTTCAACACGAGGCGTGCGGGACACGAGCCGCGTTTAAGATGTTTGATCGATTCCGAAACGCGGTCAAACGATACTGAAGGCCGCCGCCGTCGTCGCGCGTTGTCAACGGCGTCGACAACAACGGCGCCGACGCCAAGGAAAACGTGCCTCTACGACCTTCACGTGGAAAATCGAGGTGAGCGTCTCGAGATGGAAATTTTCCCACCTTCTTCATTCCCATTCGAGATCGATCGCGGATTAATCCGATGATGCGTCATCCATCCAGGTAAAATAATCAACTTTTCCGGCTGGTTGTTGCCTGTCCAGTATCAAGAGGCGATAGCCACATCGCATCTGCACACGAGAACGTTCGCATCCTTGTTCGATGTCGGTCATATGTTGCAAACAAGGGTGTGTGGGAAGGACGCCACCCAATTTTTGGAATCTCTCACCACAGGCGATTTGAAGAATTTGGGCAACGGGTGTGCCGTTCTCACCGTGTTCACAGACGAGAACGGTGGTATTCTAGACGACTTGATCGTTACGAAAGACGACGAGGATAAATATTTTCTCGTGTCGAACGCCGGGCGAAGGAAGGAGGATTCCCGATTGCTTCTTCAACAACAGGTGGATAAAGCGACATTTAATCCTCTTACGGAAAGGAAAAAAAAATCGTTCAATCTTAATTCTCACTCTTCTTCATTGTTCTTCTGATTCGCAGGAAATATTTCTCACCCAAGGAAGATCGGTGCACTTGGAGTTTTTAGACCCGTTAAAGCAGAGCCTTGTAGCGTTGCAGGGGCCCACCGCCGCTTCGGTTCTTCAATCGATCGTTGACGTCGATTTGAAGAATCTAAGATTCATGAACAGCGTGGAGACCGAGGTGTTGGGAAGTCGAATAAGAATAACACGTTGCGGGTACACGGGGGAAGACGGATTCGAGATCTCGATACCGGTTCAAATAGCGCACACCTTGGTGAAAACGATTTTAAACACACCTGACACGAAACTGGCCGGTCTGGGAGCCAGAGATAGTTTGAGGTGAGTTGATAGTTCCGCTGTTTTCCTCGCGTTATAATATAATAATATTTCCGTCTCGATTCAATCGATAGGCTGGAAGCTGGTCTTTGCCTCTACGGGCAAGACATCAACGAGAAAACGACACCGATCGAAGCTGGACTTACTTGGTTGATAGGTCAGTGAGAATAATATTTGTAATTCGATTATCATTCGATCGAACTTTGTCAAGATAATCTCGTTTTTCATTCTTCGCTACAGCTAAACGAAGAAAAGCGGAAGCAAATTTTCCAGGTGCGCCGAGGATACTTCTACAGATCGAGTCAGGAACTAAGAAGAAACGTGTAGGAATAACGGTTGTGAACGGGCCACCGGTTAGAGCGGGAGCGTGTATATTAACGCCGGAAGGAGAACGCGTTGGCAACATCACTTCCGGTGGTCCGAGTCCAACTCTTGGAAGTTACATCGCTATGGGATACGTACCGCCAGAACTGGCCGAATACGGCAAAGGAGTTTTGGTCGAGGTTCGTGGAAAAACTTATAAAGCGAAAGTCACAAAAATGCCCTTTGTCAAGACGAATTATTACACTGGAAAGTAACCGATACGATACGATCCTCTGAATTTCATGTATAAAATTCAATCGAACGTGGATGCGATTCTTCTCTTAAATTCTTTTTTCGATCCCATTCCAAATAGTTTATCGATGAACTTTTCTTATTCGGAATGAAAGAGAAAAAGATTTAAGGAAATATATTCGTAAAAATTCTGTAATGAAATTGTAATTTAAAAAAAAAAAGAACATTACAGAATAACGAATACGATTATTCGCGTAAATGAAATTATAATTATCGAAATAAAAGAAAATTCAAGCTCATTACATAAGACGAGGAGAAATGCTTATTCTCGTATTACAGAGCTCTCTGTGAATACGAGTACGAATTAAATTCCACGTCGATAAAGAAGCAAGTTTACTGACGAGAAGAAAAACCTGTACATACTGCGTATGATATAGAAGAGTTCTACTAATAAAATTTATCTTTCATGATAAAATAAAATTTAAAATAAATAGTTAAATACTAAATATAGAATATTGTAATTTATACTAGAAATGTCAACAGATAATAAATATTTCTAATATATTTATTTATTTATTTATTTGTACAAATAACATTTGGATATTAAAACAATAACATTGCAGCCAATTAGCTCGTATTATTTGTTATATAATTTATAATTGAATTACAGAATCTATCAGTAATACGATTATAAATTAGATATACAAATAATGATGATTGCCCAAGCCTCCCCGCGTGGAGGGAAGCTGCGAAAAGAGGCTCACCCTAACCACGATCCCATCCACCCTCCTTTAATGTACTTTAAAAATTTATTTAACATTAATAACAATTCCTTCTTTTGATGCATGCTTGCAAAACGTTCAATTTGACCGTTGTGCAAAACGAACAGCAAAAGAATTCTTAAGAAAAACTGACGCGACAAGCTAAACCTGTGAAAATAGAGACAAATTATATTTTGATCCAATTGTATAAACTCTATATAAAACATATTACAGGCTAATTTGTACTTGTATCAATATTTTATATCTTTACTGCCACGTAAAGACGTAAAATATTGATTGAAGTACAAAATATAAAACAAACAAAAAAAAATGTAAAATATGTCTTATATATAATTATACATATTTAACACAATTATTCAACACAACCATCACCATAGTTACTATTATATGCATGCACTTAATAATATATTTTACTTTAACCAGAAACAATCAAAGAAAGAAAAAGAACAATTACTTGTAGCAACCACTTATGTCCCAAAATTTTTACTTAAGAATAATCTTATTAATTCTTAAATTTAACTAAACTTAAAACTATCCAGCTTATAACTTGAACTTAATCTGCCTGATTTAAGAATCTAAAGCCTACCTAAATATACATCCAAAAATGTTTAATATTTGGGGAATTAGAAGAGAGAAGTTTCTATAAAATTTGAAACTATCTTATAACTATATATTTGATATAACCTACCTGATCTAAGAATCTAAAGCCTACCTAAATATATATCTGAAAATATTTAATATTTGGAAAAATAAGAGGAGCATAGGACACACTTCCCTATCTAATAGAAATTTAAGAACTAGTACCATTCTATATATTAAGATTTCTATGGGAAGCCTACTTGTATAAAAATCTCAATATAGATTTCAAGAAAAGGAAAAGGAAGGAAAAGGATATCATGTGAAGCCTTCTTCTATTGATTCCTCCATGGTCTCTGAAACAAATAAACTAGAAAAAAATTAATAAGATTCAATAAAATATTTATTATTAATTCCCAATTGGTGAACATTCAAATATTATTCCTACCTACATAGAAACTAAATTTTTTTTTACTTCCTACCTAATGAAAAATTAACGATACTATGGATCTACTATGGAAAAAGTTAAAGATCTATACGAGAACCTTTATACACAAAGATCTTAATATAATGAAGGAAAGTGAAAGGGAATATTACTACCTAAAATACCTAAAATATATCGATGAATTACACAATGACCCCAAAAACAAAATCACAAAAAATCGTCCCCTACCTAAAAATTTAAAGATCTGAAATCCATCTATGGAAAAATTTGAATATAATCAACAAAAAGGAAAGGGAAAAGGAAATATAAATACTTAGTAAAAAATATAAAATACGAATCTTCTTCTATCGATGCTTGAATTGGTTCCACGATTGTTCCTGAAACAAATCAAACTACAGAAATATTGATAAAATTTTATAATTATTATTTTTCAATTATAGGTTTGAATAGCATTTCCTTAGTCCTTTTCATTACTTCATATATCTCTTTTAATATACTTTGATATACGTGCTTGAGAATTTCATTCATTGCTCCTAAATTAATATGTCTGAAACAAACTTACTTATTTGATTAGTAAAAAAAAAAAAAAGCTGAAAGAAAAATATGATATATAATAAATATAAAAATTTTACTTATTGAATGGAATTGAATTATTATTATTGCCAGAATTAAAAAAAAAATTTATTTATATTTTGTAAATCAATTTTGAAATAACAAAATTTTAAATACCAAGATGAAATTATATGATTTATTTTCTCAATAAAATTTTACTTTCTCATAAAATTTTTCTTAAAAATGAATAATAATGAATGAATTATAATTTGTACAAATCAAATTTGAATATTTATAAAATTTTTTTCTTGAAAAATTGAAATCACCAATTCTTTGCATTTTAAAAGATCTGATAAAAAGAATTATCACTGATAAAAAGAAATATAACAGTATTTTCTACAACAAACGTAATGAAGTGAGGGACGCTGAAAAAGAAATGCCTAAATAGTAGCCAGAAGGGCTACTACTAAAAAACAAATATTTTCCACTCAATAAACCCGAGCAAACCGTGAGTGGAATATCCATTTCTTACGCAACACTAATAAACTACTATTTTTATGTAAGATAGAAAATTTGCAAGATCAACCGCGATGAGTGCTTCAACATATTTGCAATACTAGTTAAATAATAAGTGACAAAAAAAATAAAAAAGAAATCAGAAAATTCGCGGAAGCATTTATATACGCAACTACTAATGAACATTACTACTACTCTATGCACTCAAATTTTAATACACGCGACACTAATAACGACAAATCCTAAGCAGTCTCTTCTTAATGACTGCCAGTCGACGTACAGTCACCCATGTAGCATTTTTAGCCACACCAGGTGATTCAGGAGCTTCCACAATCCTCGTGGAAGGTTGGGCATTCGTTATATTCGCAACACTACTTTGCCAAACGCGATTATTTTTTTAACGCAACACTACTTCAACAAACGCGATTACTCTCAGACGCAACGCTAATTGAAAAATTAATACAAACAAACAAAAGAAATTGTAACAATTTATATTTAATAATAAAAAAAACGCGATATCTTACAATCACTGATTCAATAAATACAAACGCGATTTTTATTTTAACGCAACACTAATTCAACCCGTAATTAATTTTTCGCAACACTAATTCAACCCGTAATTAATTTTTCGCAACACTAATGCAAACACGATTCTTCTTTTAACGCAACACTAATTCAACCCGTAATTAATTTTTCGCAACACGATAATGCAAACACGATTCTTCTTTTAACGCAACCCTAATTCAACCCGTGTTTAATCAATCGCAACACTAATAAAAAAATCGCGATGCCCGTGAAGACTGGATCCGTTGGGCCTGCATGCAATCGGCCAGGTGACAAACACGATGACAAATACTACGGTATTGCTAAAACGAGACACAGTGACAATATAGTAACAATGACTTCCCATTCTTTGGACCCGTACAACAAGATCCAAAAGATGAGAAGCCATTCGTTGCAGCCCCTCTTCGCGACAATTTGTCGAGGCCTCTTCGGTCTTCCTCCTTCGGGCGCGATGCCCGCTGAAACTTAAAACTAGGCTCGAGATTCGCAAATCAAGAAGAAAAAAAAGGAAGAAAAAAATGACTAAATCGCGGAAACTAAGTGCACATGGACGACCAACGATCGCAATGATCATTCTCCGTGCATGCGCAGAATCTCGAGCGCAACGTTCGTCTCGAAAGCAAATCGCGAGCGCGAGCGCGGAATTCGAAAAATTCGACGAGCAAAGCCGAGAGAGACGTAATCCATTCGTCTCGGCTTTACCCCCCATTTTTCAAATTTCATTCCCTGAAACAGGTTGCCACGCGAAAAACGCGCCTACCCGATCAGAGACTGTGACAACCTGCCCGGCCCTACCTACTTATAATTTAACAGGCACACCAGAAGTATACTACCTATCCTACCTAGCCCTATATTTAAAAAATATGGCAAAGCAGGCACACCAACACACTCATTCCACGATTCTCACGCATAACACTCGGGCGCAAAAGCCTACACTAGGGAAAACGTCCCGGGACGCATCCGACACCCGAGCTTGGCACGCTACACGCATACTCTAAGTTTACGTACCATTCTCCTGAAATCGACTGACGATGGCTAGTGACCATTGCGTGAAATGCGATAAAAACCTGTGTATATCTTAATTTTAATTGTGAATATTTTTTTAATGAATGGATATGTCTTTTAAGGCAATTAAATTATTAAAGTTACATGAAAATTTGATCACCATTGACCGTTATTATAATTTGAAAGTAATTATAATATTTGAAAAAATTATAATATTGCGTACAAATATTGTTGTTGAAAATTGTAATGATATTAATCGTGAATATTTTAAATATTTTAAATATTTCAAGTCAGTTATTTCAAGTACTGTGTTATGGAATGATAAATGAAACGACGCAATTCCACAGCCTAAACCACACACACATAATGTGGAAAGTACGTCGTGCACGATACGCTAACGCATCGTCAGTCGCTAAAAAATGTTTATTAGCTTATAAACTAAGGTCATCATGCCCATCGCCTCTCTCTCACCCAAGTAGCACCTGGGCACGTGAGTGAGATCCTGGCAATTGACACGGAAAGGGTTAAATCTGAAAATCCTGAGCTAAAAAAAAGCATTAGTATATTTTTATCTAACGGACTAATGTTCATTCGATTCAACGCGTGCTCATTTTATCTTACAATTTGATAAATTTATTTTACAAATTATTATTAATTTTAAAAAGGAAAAATTTTTATAAGCAATGAAAATTCATTTAAATAATTGGCTCTAAATGGAGTTTTAATACAAATAAGATCTCAGGCGATCTCTTCATCAAAGCATATTTTCGAAAATGCAAAATGAGTTTAAAATTTATTGCTCTGATTCAGAAATCTACCTGTCGCGAAATGTTTTCTTGCACATATTTGACACATTTTTTACATTTCAAATCAATATATTTAAGTTACAAATAAAAAATTAAGGATAAAATTAATATTGTTTATTATTATACTAATAATAATATATATTATTACTTATCATCATCATATAGCAATTAAAATTTTTATTTCTCATTCAACTCTTTCAAATGGTATAATATATATTTTGAATTACAGATCTCAGATTGATTTTCAATTCGTTATATTGAAATTTAATCAATAATTAATCAAAATTAGTATCATTTTATTAGAAACGCGATGTGCAAGAAAACCTATCCTGATCTAATGAATAAAATACAGAAAAAAAGAATGTTACTATTCACAGGTATAATAAAAATACCCGTGGTCACTGTGCTCGTGCAAAATTCTACGTATACAACCAGTCATCCGTGTCGATTTGGATCTTTCATCCTACGACATGATTGAATGACCGGAGGAACTTAAATGCATGCGACTCACCAATAGATGCGAAGTATGAAATTCATGCTCTGTTCAAAGAGAAGTTGTCATTGGGAAGACATCTGTAATAAAAAGGGTAAATTTGAAATTTTAATTCTTTAAAATATCGACTTTCTTTACTTCTTCATTAATAATATATTAAACCAAAATACAAAAACTAATGTAAATTGTAAAAAATTATGTAAAGACAATTACCTCTTCGCGTGATGGATGATCGCCTTATACTGTTGAGAGAAGCACTGATTCTATCCTGTACCGAAAGCGAATATTTAAAAAAATAAAATAAAATAAAAGACTATTGGCGCGACCGTAAAAGTAAAATCGGCGAACAAGCACTGACTCGAATTTCGCGAATATTTATCACAATTAAATTTACTTAGAGCTATTGTGCTCTAAAAAAATATTTAAAAAACTACGCAACAAACACTGACGCTAATAACCGCATTGCACGCGATCGCAAAAAGTTTAATTGGCTATCAGCATCTGTAACAAAAATGAAATATTATGTTAAATCTTTTTTTAAAAATGTATTCTTTAAATTATTTAAATTATTCAAAAAATGGAATGGATTATAAATTTTAGAAATTTAATAGAAATAACAATTGGAAATAATAAGAATAAATTGTAGAAAAATATAGAAAAACAATTACCTCTTCGCGTGATGGATGATCGCCTTATACTGTTGAGAGAAGCACTGATTCTATCCTGTACCGAAAGCGAATATTTAAAAAAATAAAATAAAATAAAAGACTATTGGCGCGACCGTAAAAGTAAAATCGGCGAACAAGCACTGACTCGAATTTCGCGAATATTTATTACAATTAAATTTACTTAGAGCTATTGTGCTCTAAAAAAATATTTAAAAAACTACGCAACAAACACTGACGCTAATAATCGCATTGCACGCGGTCAACAACTGAAAATAAATTAGTAGGAAGGAATGGTATAGAAAAAGAAGAAAAATATGAAAATATTTTGCTTCTTTTTCATATCGAACATTTGCTGAAGAAAATACTGCTAATTTTTTAAAGCTATTAATTATTATTAATTATTATTTATTATATTGTGAATGTTATTAGAATTTAGATTATATATATTTTTAAAAAAAACTTCGTATATTATAAATATTCGAAAATGATTCGAGGCAAATGAAAATTCAAAACAAAATATTTCTAAAAACAATTCAATAACAAAACTACTACGCTGTGTTGTCGTTCAAGACAAGGAAAGAATATTGAGAAAGGCCAAATGACGTCGTTATTACTCTTAGAAAGAAATTTTCGATTAAAATCAATTTTGACAATTTGAAACGAAAAAAGTAATTATATTATATATTCAATATAAAAATATAATTTCTTTAACCTTCTTTCATCTTGATATCCTCAAAAAAAAATATTTAATTTAGCTATATATTAACTACGAATTATTTTGTTAAATATATGTATAACAATTGTATATTAAATATTATTACCATAGTTTAATAAAAAAAATAATTATATACATACGTATATTTTGTTGAACGTTACCATGTTTCCACAAAGCGCGGGATTAACTATTTGAAATGGTTAAAAAATCATCATGGCGTCCATATTCTAAATTGCGTTTTATCTCTTCGAAATTATACATACTTGCGTTCAATTTATAATCTGTATAGAAAAGGATTTCTAAAAATTTAATATAAATATAAAAGCTAAAGCTAATTACAAAACTTAACAATAAAAACAATAAATTCTATCGCAAAAGTTTATATATATGAGGTAATCAGATAGCCGATCGACAAAGAAAGACAGAAAACTTCGAAATTTTTTAAATTTTCTATTATAAAGATATTTAATAAATTATTAAATAGACGATAACTAATGAAATAAAGTTAATAAATATATAAATACCTCAAGAAAATAGCAGTGGAAGTATCACGTAATTGATGAGCACAATAACACTGATCGAAAATATACACGTTATCCTCACGACGTTCGACATTACTAATGACTCATTGTGTGACGCGCTGTAAATTTGGCGCGAGGTTCCCCCTCTTTCCATCTGCGCAGTAAACCAAAATTCTCTACGCCGCGCCGTAGAAATTTTCTATATTAACAAATTATGAAAATAACAAATCAAATATTCATTAAAAATTTTTATGCTATATTAATTGATTAAATATAGAAAATTAAACAATGTTTTTAATATATATATAATATATAATATATATTATATATTACAAAATATAACTTCAATTAACCGGAAACTCGATTAACGATTATCAATGAATTAATCAATTAATCCAATTATCGATTATATCGATTATATTCGATTTATAAAAATGAAAGAGAAGCATATTATATATATTATTAAAATATATATTTTAATATATTTCAATATATATTTTTATCACATAATATATTACATATTATATATTATATATATTTTTCAATATATTTTAATATACAAAATGTAACTTCAATTAATTAGAAACTCGATTAACGATTATTTGTAATCTCAATTAATCGAATTATCGATTGTATAAGTTTTTTTTTTTAGAATAAAAGAAACATTAGATGCAAATCATTTGATAAAACACGTATAAGTGCAGAAATAATAGAATGAAAATTTATACATATTAAAAATTTTTATAAGAAAAACATTTTTCGTATAAAGAATTTAAAAAAAAAAACTTGTTTTTAATATATAATTTATGTAATGCTATTTTAGTTGGTCTTCATTTATACGAATTAGCCTATTTTTTCATTAAATCAATTATTAAATAAAGATTCTATTATACAATATTTAATTAATTAAGTTATTTAGAAAAAAATGTTGTATCCATATATTTCGAATTTCGTGAAAATGACTCTCATAGAGGCGCTGAAACTGGTGCAAATGCAAGCTTGAAAGCTTTAAGTATATGTTAGGTTTATGTTTCTAATAAAACATTATATTGTACAAAATATTATCTTTCTTACACAATAATGGGTATTATAAATGATAAACCAAACGTCAGTGCAGAATCAAAAGATGTACAAAAATCTGATAAACCATTGAAACCTTGTTGTGCTTGTCCTGAAACGAAAAAAGCAAGAGATGATTGGTATGCTTATATTTTAAGTATTTAATTTAAAACAATATTAAACAATAACAATATTTTTGCTTAAAAAATATCTTTAATTCATAAATTTTTAAAACTACGAATAAAATAATTTTATTTGAATGAAATCTATTAAATTAATTTGCTCTTATTTATACATAAATCAATACATAACCTTATCTTAAATTTATATTTTCTATTACAAACATTTTCAAATAAAATTTTAATTTTTTTTCAGTATTATTACCAAAGGTGAAGAAAACTGCAGGGATTTAATAGAAGCACATAAAATTTGTATGCGATCATTAGGATTTAATATATAAATAAATATATATTTATTGCTGTAGATGATGTAACAAATTCTCAGGTTATATTTTGTTTGTAGAAACAAAGTTTGTATTTGAATAAATAATATTTAATTTATACGAATGATATAATATTTTTTTAACAATGTTAATATTAAATAAATTTATTTAAAATTTAGAAAGAAAGAAATTATTTTGTTCGTATCAAATGTATTTTTTATTTAAATTTCCCTATATTCACATATAAGTTTTTATATTGAGATGAAAAAAAATATTCTATTTTTTAAATGGTATAAAACAATCACACATAAATTGGGAATTCTAACACAAAGCATATATTTTAATTTGACATGTGAATAATTTGAAGTATTTTTTTACACTCGCTTAACAATTCCACAATTTGCTTTGACTGAACATTCCAAAATGTTGAACATTGTTTCTATCAATATATGATGAATTTAATGCAAGTAATAATTGTCATTTTTTCTGTCAATCATATTTTATATGATCTTATAAGTAAGTAGAAATACAAATATTTATCCAATTAGTGCCCTTTATATGTATCATTCATTCATGTAAAATAATAAAGCATAATAGTAATTTTTAATAATATTTTCCCGATTAACAAATTAACAAATATCAAACTTCTTCTTCTTTTTCTTCTAATAATTTTCAATATTTTCAACTGTAATAAATAGAAGTTGTGTATATTGATATAATTTACAGTAAATATAATAAATATAATAATAATAATAATAACAACAATAATATTAATGATTATAATTATAAGAATAAAAATAATATAATTTTTAATTATGTCATATAAATAACAAGGTAATGGACTGGTCTGATCTTTTTCTCTCTCAACATTGTGTTCAACTTACGTGTTAAGGTATGGATAAGTCTTAAAATAATCCAATAATTAAATACATTATTCATAAATAGTATGAAAGTAGTTGTACTTTATGTATGAGTGAATGAAGTGTAATATAACGAAGAATGTGTGCACATATGTGTATATGAATATAGATAAATGTATGTATATATATATATATATAAATAATATATGGAAATATGTTGTTTATTCTTGTAGACACCCCAAAAACTGTGTAAAAACAACAATAATAAAAATTTATTTGAGAATAATTTTTTTAACGATTTATAAAATTCATATATAATCATATATAATTTATCATTCATATATAACGCGAATCGTGATATATTATTATTATTATTATTATTATTGATACTTATATCGACTAAAAATTGACAATATTATGACAACAATGTTTATTAAAAATGTAAAATACAAGTGAAAGAAGTTAAAAACGCGGACAATGCTTTTTTTAATGATCACATGGAGTGTCTTCAAAAATATTAAGAATCGGTGATTAGCATTAAATTGTTAACAGCATCACAGCTACGAAAGAGTCTCATTTTTCAAGCTCTGCCATGGCTTTTTTCCGTTGATGCAACCGATCGGCATAAGTCGATTGATCGATTAAAAATTAGCACAACCTGTTCGGTGCGACGAAAAATTGAGCAGAACATTATTTAGACCAAAAATTTTCAATCGAATCGATTTTATCTTTGAAATACATCCTGATTATAACTTTTTTTCTCAAGCATACATCAAAGTACAATATTTTTAATGCTGATAAAAAAAATTAATTTTCGCGATATATAGATACTTTTTTTTAAAAAATTGTAACTTTTATTTTAAGTTTCGTCAATTTCAACTCCAAAATACTGAACCGCGACGCAGGCTTAAATACACATGGTGATTTGAGAAACCGACATATGACGGCGAAAATATGCAAGAATATATTGTTAAATAATATTTTTGCAACTACTATGGTGGAGCAAATCCCCTATTAATAAAACCTAGAACATTGCGGTCATGTAACTTTAAGGATGCCGGACAAAATTGGTTTCAGGCAGTCTATCGTCTTTCCAAAAGATTTAACTTCTTTTCGAGCCAGTAAGTCTCACCTATCTTGTGGTACACGAATTAAACGTAACACTTTGCTTTCCTGAAATCGAAACAGAAATATAGAGATGTAATTTAATAATGAACGACTTGTAAAATAAAGAAATGAAAATATAAACAATGAATAAATTTTAGAGAGATTTTAAATAAGAGAAATTACATGATATTCTAAGTCAGTTTCCATAATACCGGTAACGGCAACAACTTGATACTGTCTTGCTTTCATCGCTGCAATCGATTTTCGCACCAAACGCATTGCACCGAGTGCACTGCTTGTATTGTTAAATTGTGCCATTTGTGCTGGGCTATGGCTTGGATCGAGTACTAACATTGTTATTGAACCATCTCTTAACTGTTCTACTCCTATTATTGTTCTACTATGACCTGAATGAGAATAATATTTAATTTCTTTCCTAATTTTATTTTTATTTTCATTTTTTTTTAAATTTCTTTTTTTTTTTTTTTTTTTTTTTACTATAAGTATTACCTTGGTGCTGTAAATAAAGAGGTGGTTTAAAATCATCGCAACGTTGGAAGTATTGTAAAACCCAATTAAACATTTCAGGATGTCCACCATCAGAATTAGTTGGTGTATAAAAATCTATTAACTGGCATCTGGACAAATGGAAATATTACACATTATCACATTATATAATGTGATTCTGTAGATGGAGAAAGATGAATGAAAATTGAAAAACATACTTTATTCTCAAACTAGATAATAATATGACTACTTCTGTAGGACCAATCCATTTTCTAGTGTTCACCAATTTTCCTCCCAATTGTTCTGCTCCTTGGGTATCAAAACCTTGAGCCCAAGCCCACTCTATCATTTTCTGAAGTCTAGAGATCGACGGTATTGAACTTCGTAATGGATTCTTGGTAGAACTACCACTATCCAAACCAGAATTCCATGCTTTATAAACTAACTCATTATACCCTGTATGTTGTAAAAGTGATGAAATTAACATTTGCAAATTTCTATAACCACATCCCCATCCTTTGTCCCCATAAGTAGTAGCGTAGTGGTCTACAGTAGAACACATCCAGGTGCTTAATACATTACTACATGCTTGACTGACAGCTCGTATTTTCGGAACTAATCCTATTAAAAAAATATGATTGTTAGATAGATATTGATTTACTACAGCAGTAAGAAATATTCTTAATACTATGGGAGAATATTTTTTAAAAAAAAATTATTACCGCGTGTACAGGAGCTGCCATCATCGATACCGCTGCTTTCAGCTACTCTGAGCTCAGTTTGTCTTTCATAATAATCAGCAATCGTCATTTCTCCTGAATATACAGCCCGCTGCATATTGGTAACACTTTGTTCCCTAAAATTTCCCTGATTGTCCATCCCGTATTGAGCTCTTAACAATTCAAATTCACGTTGTTCGCGTAATTTTCTGAGCTCCTTTTCAAGTCTTTCCATATCTTTTGCTAACATTCTATCAGTAGATAAATCTGGAGTTATTGGGGATGGAGTGCACTTTTTACTGAAATGTTCTTCAATATGTGCAGTCAATTCATCATTGCTTTTGAACGAGGTACTAAAGCATACTGGGCATGCAGGTGTATCACTACCAATGGTTGCTTGAGCCGTTTGGGAAGCTGCACCATTTGCAGGACTGTATGAAAGAATAAAACGTATAATATAATTAATCGGTTCAAATACATGATACATAATTTAATGTATTTACAATTAATGTAATATATAGATTTTACTTTACCTTAATATATCTTTATGCTCTATATTAACATGTAATTCAAGATCAGAAGAATTTGGAAAAGACGTGATGCATAAAGGGCAGTTAAAGACACCATCACGAGATGGTGGAGATTCAGGTGGAAAGGACGGCGAAGTAAGATCAAAATGTTGCCTGTTGATATGCTCTTCTAGCCTCGATGGGTTGTCAGAACTGTAGGGACACATAGGACATTCTTGAACTGGAAGTTTTGGTGAAGCATGAGAACGCAGTTGTAAATTTAGGCCTGAACGCAGTGGAGATCCATGTCCAGCTGCACCTTCTATAACTGAAAAATTATCTTGATTATTTTCTTCGTACTTCATAGATTTTCATTATAATCATTGATGTTCTTTTCATTAATGTTCCTTCTAATACCATTATTAACATTTCCAATGTTATTGTTGTTGTTATTATTATTCATATTAGAACTAGGAATTTGTGGCTCTGATTTTAATATCTCTTGCTGCTGCTTAGCACGAGGACTGAATGAACTACTCCAACCATTTTGAAGAAGTGGAGGACTTGGGGACATGGTTGGAGAAGGACATGGACCACGACATTCGTCATGTCTTCTATCATCCACTAATGAATCATCATCAATAAATGCCATCATATCACTCTCTGGAGTACTGCAAAATAATTGTTACCTTATATTAATATTTAATTACATATATTGGTTATGAATATAAATAATGAAATAAATAAAAAAATAATAAAATATAAATAAACAAATAAGTAAAAATTGAATACTTTTCACTATCATTACGTATCAATTTATATTCTATTTCCTTTTTATAATCTTTTATCATGTTTTATATATAATTAATTCGAATCGGTAGAAATTTGCATAATAATCGTAGACTAATATAAAATACAAATACAAATAATAGAAATTGAATAATAGAAAAACAAAGTATCAAAGTAAACATAAGTGTCGAAATGCATATAAATGCAAATATCAAATGGATATACTTAATTGCGACTTATCGCATTTTATTTTTATACTTTTTTATCTATTCAATGAATTTTCTGTATATATTTAAAAAATAATCTTTCAAAAAGTACTCTCTAATAACGTAAAAATAATTTCGTTACAAGAATCACAAACTTCGTATATCAGCGACATCTAAGGCCCATCTTTGCCGCCATTTTTCTCGCAATCGGACTAATTTAAATAAAGTTTACGACGTATGGAAAGAAAATTCGTGAAAAATAGTAAAAAAAAAAAAAAAGAAACGTATAAAGTATAATTGCTATATACATACCTAGGTGTTAAGTAATCGAGATGAGCACTGTTAACATGTGTCAACATCTCTGTTGGTGAAATTTCGCCTAAATCGCAAAAGGGGCAATTTGCGGCACCTTGAAGATGATAGAAAACCATATGAGATCTCATCTCTTCGTCGTTGAAACCTTCTAGACCGCAAATTTCGCACGTGTAATTCATTTCCGGAGGTTTACTGGCCGCCATTTTTAACACATTCAATCAACACTTATTATTGACCTATAGTAAAAATAAAGAATAAAAAATTATTAAACTTCGTCAAATCATTTGTGCAAAGTTTCGATTCGACGCATTTAAATATCCATCCAAAATGTAAATGTATTCCGTTTACGAATAGTGTTAACGTTAACAGTAACTTGGATACTGTATCGAATTACAAATCAATTTTACAAAACAATGCAAGTAACATTATAACGTAGAAAAAGATTAGATATTTCCATTTAAAAAAAATTACTCTACATTATTCTCCTCGACGAAACAAATAATATCGGAATAATATCGGTTTAAGCGAAATAAATTGCGACAGTGCATCAAAACTGCATCGTCGTGTATTTTCCTCGGAGAATCGATAATTGAATTCAGGGTCGCGTACAAGTGTTCGCGATTGTATCGTGGTTACCCGTTAGCTTTCTCGCGAATTGCATATCGCATACGCGTGATTGTCGACCGTGCCACACAAAAACACCGTAACACGAGTAAAATATATTACGACTCGTTTCCGTTGCATTGTGTCGGCTGATTTATGGCCAAAAAACCCACACAACTCATCCGCGACACGAGGATTTCCTCGAATGGAAGACATCCCATCCAACACGACGGGATTCGTTCGTTGAATCGTGATTTCCTCGTGTAGGTGGAAATGCAAACGCGACCTCTCACCTCTCCGCTTCCCTTTATCACCTGTATCCCTCTCGCTACCGTGGCCGCGTGTCAATCAATGCGTATCCTCCATAGCCGGCGAGAATTTCATATTCATTCTATTCACCGAGCGGAAATAAAAATTTCGATCGTAGAATCACGACGACGATGGCGATGTCAACGACGATCACGGCCGGAACGACGGACGAACGAAGAATCAAAAGGATCGAAGAAGGGAGCACTTTCCATGACATTTCTTTCATTTCAAACGAGAAGAGTTTCGCGTATCTTTTTCGCTCGCTCAACTCACTCGACGAAACTAGGCCGAATTGTCGAAGAAAGGAGTATAGCACGTTTGGTTGCTGGGTTGGTGGGTTGACCCATTTTAGATTCGCTGTATCCTTACAACATCGCGCTTTTCAACTTTTCCAATTAACGCCCGATACGTCCATGACACTCACCTTAAATTAATAATAAAACTTAAGTTTACACAGTTCGCTTTTTTTCTTTTTTTTTTTTTTTTTTTTTTTTCCTTCCAACACTTTTTCACCACGTAACGCACCACAGCAAGGCGTCCGTGCAGGCCAGAGTGCCTAACACGGCGCCTCGTTTGCCTCCATATGACAGCGCCAATACACCCCGACACTTTCACGGAAAGAGAGTCGTTTCTCGTTTCGCCACCCCACCGTGTGTCAATCCTCCACCACTGGTCTCTCTCGAGGGTTGCGATTCATAGGCAGACCTAGCCGAAGGCGCCACCCGCGTTGTGCGCGGTCGGTAAAGACTCTCGAGTCAAACCACTCTTTTATTTTTCACGCTCGATCCTTCGATCGAAAAAATTAATTTAACTTTACGCCATTACTTTTACGATTGTGATTCGTTCGATCCTGTTCGAGAATGTTTCGTTCGATGATATATCACGCACGGTAAAGATGTTTCGCTTGGATTTCGATGGTAAAACAACGGAGAATTTCATTGCGCGTGTGCAGCGTGTGAGGCGAATTTTCACGAGGATAAACAGTGCGACTAGACGACAATGGAGGCTCGATGGAGGCACCTTTAGACCGTTTAAACTCAAAGATATTCGAATCTTATTTATGACACCGGATGGAATAATATGTTTCCGGATTCGAGAACCGTTAACCGTCTACTCGACTTTGCAAATAACGTTACGAAATAATTGGTTTTGGAATTTTAAGAGAGCGGCCATTTTAGATATAATATCTATACAAATTAACAGTTATCGCTAAAAATCTTATCCCTTATTCATCATTTCCTCGTCGACCTTTCGAGACAAGATCTTTCCTTACACATGAGTTCGAAGAAATTCTCGATCTCGATCATTTTTCGAAGCGCCGTCTCGGTCTCAATTTCTCTCTCCCTCTCTCTCGTACACCTATTGTCCTTCCACGGTGAAGTTTTCCATAATGACAAGCCGGCAAACTAGCAAGACACGGTCGACGCCTTATTGCATTATATCCAAATCGCAAGTATAATAACGACTAACCATCAATTGTATCAATGACAATGACGTTCCATGCATTATATAAACAAGGGGACAACCGCGTGTACAAACTTCGACAAAGTTTATAATTTAATCCTTTCGATTCGTTTTAATTACGCGAGGAAATTAGGAGGAAAGAAGAATTTCGTTCTTCGTTCGAGAAGAAAATCGAAAACTCTTTATTACGCGGGTGGAATATATGGGCCTCGGATAGCGCAACGTGATGAAAAGAAAGGGGAGAGGGTGGAGACATTGCGAATTCCAATCGCGATCAAGACATTCCTCGGGCGCTGTCGTCGCATAAACTCGCGCGAGACAAATTTACGCGAGAAACTCGATTTCTCACGATCAGCTAAGCAGAGAGATACTCGCCGATACTCCTCGTTGGTCCTCGATTTCTCTTCGTCGTCTTCTCCGATTCTTCGATGCTTAGGTTCATTGACATGCAGCCGACGATCGACGGAGGATACAATGTTCACAGAACTATTTGGTCTTTCCCCTTGGTCGCGCGCGCTCGCCCTCTCCCTCCTCCCACCCTCCTCCTTCCTTTCGCTCGTTCGTGAGGGTGCGTGAGTCAAATACTTGAAATACGTGCATGCGCAGAAAGTAAATCGCCGGCAAATTTATTTCACCAACCTCGGGACACCTCGCCAGTTTTTCGCGACGGCCGATTTTTCGATCGTCGCATTTGTTCGAGGAGAAATTAAATTGAAAATCGTCTTCGACACCATCGTATCGAATAGATATATATATATACATACATACATATATATATCTACTAGCATGGAAAATTTGAAATATTTGTATAGATGCCAATAGATGCACGAGATATCCGTCCAATTAAACGATGCTCACCACTGTGGATAATTAATAACCATTGTGACTACTTGAGTGAGTTGAGTAGAGGCGAGCGAAGTCCGAGCCGAGCAAAAACGTGTTTCTGGCACGATCTCTCGTCGATGGAAAAACGTTGAAACACGTAGCCTCTTATGAAACATTTGACCGAGTGGCAATTAAAAAAAAAAAAAAATAACCACAGAGGCACATAGGACGCGTGCGTCATACGCAATTATCGAACATTTAATTGTTATTTAATTGTTATTACGTATTAATCGGATCGTTGCCGCATTCGCTTCCGCTTCACGGAACACCGCTTTAAATTGCCCATCATGTATTTATCCGAGTGAAAAGAGGCACTCTCTGGTCACCGTACTCGTGAAGGGGAATTTTAAAAGGAGTTTTCTACCCACGAAAGATCTTTGTTAGAGGTTGAAAAGTGAGCCACGAGCCGAGCTCTATATAACAGAAGATAATGCCATTAACCGTTCATTTTGCAAATTAGTCGTTGAGAGCGTAGCAGCGTTACATTAATAATGGTCCTCATAGGGTACAAAGTAGCGATGTATACGGCATATAAACCGGTATTTTACATTATTTGCAACAACTTCGCGAGGTATTTATCGATGTTCAACTGAAAACTGGTTTTCATCCACACGGGTTTTCTTTCTCTCTCTCTCTCTCTCTC